GTGATAGTGGTTGAGAGTAGTGGGTGATGGGTGCCCCGACGCAACTCTGGCGGTAAGGATTGGGGAGAGGATGGAGGAGGGGAACAAGGATACTAGTCAGGAGGTCGAGACAAGAAATGCAGGCAGCAGCAAAGAAAAAAATAAACCAACACACCGCTGCAAAGAAAAGTAAGTTAAAACAAATCTGAACTTATGAATAAAAGGAAAAAATAAGTGAAATTAAAGAATTTGAGCCTATGGCCAAAAGAAAAAGGAACAAAAACAAAAAAAACTGAATGTATGCAAATGGGGATTGTCTTACAAAAATCCGTCTTCAGAAAGCGGCTTCCGTACGTATGAATCTAATTCTTACGGAAGCTGAGGGCAAATAAGTTCGATTGGATTTACATAAAAATTGCACACAATTTCATTGTGTTGCATCCGACAGCCTGCAACTGTGCACAACAGTTACACCTCTGTTTTTTATGCCTTTAAAACCTCAGAGAAGCAAAGGCTGATTTCATCCCGATGCATCCAGTCTACCCTGTTTCTGCTCAGTCGTATCCTACAACGGAAACTATTCGCTCTTAGTTTTACTTAAGCACCAGCTTCATTAATAGGAAAGTCTCCTACTGACGACGGGTTTTTATCAAACAATTTCCACTGGGAAAACCTCTTTTTTTGCTTTTATTTGTAAAGTCCGATTTACTTCAATTTACTTTACTTTTTGGCGCTGTGTTATCTTTTTATCTTTACTGCTATCTTCAGTTCTTGTCTCTAGCTACTGATTTGTATCCCAGTTGCTCCCCTCTACCGTGTCCCCAAATCATTCTCACAAACAACATACTGGCTCCTCTCCATCCCCACAATAAGAAAACTCTGAAAGCAAGCAGCTCAGCCCCTCCCCTGCCCCGACCTCCGTGGCAAGAACCAGCTGCATACTTCCTCCTTCTCTCCACTTATCACCCGTCGCCTCCCCTCCAAATGTACGTGACCTAGCCAACCAACGTAGGATCCATGCCACGTAGTCATTAAACCACCCATCCTAACCCCTCCTCCCCTCCCCCACCCCCTCCACACCTCCGCCCCGAACCCTACGAACGGAACCCGCAATACACCATCACCAGCTGGGTGACGGTAGCGTATTGCGAGTCTCGTTCGAAACCGGGCGCCCGCCACTCACCGTGGAGTAACATCACCCGCCACCACAAGAACAATTTTTCGCAAGTCGTGTAATGACGCCATCTGGGACGAATTTTAGTAATTTCTCCCACCGTTCAATAGCAAGCACGGTGTAACAATGCGGTTACTAAAATTCGACTTCTACCCGTCGGCCAACTGCTGATGTCGATTTACGATTACTGGGAGGGTGGTAACAAAGAAGGACGGGTGGCAGTTCGGTGGGGAGGGTGGGGGAAGGGGAGGAGCGAGGAGGGCAGGATGCGGGTGGCGGTTTAGGTTTCGGAAGTTGCTAAAACTGGGAGGGGTGGGGAGCCGAATTCTCTGCTAA